AGAGACGATTTTTTAATTAGCGGGCGAATTATTGGGGAGTCACTCTGCGCCGAGAAAACATTGGGTTTCTTATAGCGCCGTGACTTTCGTCGCAATATTAATTTTTTTATTGCAGAGATTAAGGGATGAAACGGGGGTTGATGGATGGTGAATTTAATTCTCCATTGAACAGTCTTTGTTTCATCCCTTAATATTAATTAGTCGGTGAATAAATCAACTGAAAAACAAAGTAAACATTGAGTACAAGGAGGACAAAAGCCCCCCTTCAAACCTGTCCCTGTCACAGCGGGACTGCTACTGCCGAGTTACTCGCGCACCCGACTTACATTTACCGATAATTCGACCGGGACGCCGCCTTTCCCGTGGGGTACCAACTAACATTTTTGGAGTCAGTCAAACCCCCCGATCCGGGCCTCTACTCAGGTCTATCCTCTTTGGTACGCCTTATGGGCCGTATGCGACTTGTTGAAGTCGAACGTATGATTTCAATTCGAGAATAGGGTCCCTGAGCCTCTACTTTTAGTCAATCCTCTTTGGTGGCGCACTACGCCAGTCTCCTTATTACCGACAGTGTGGCTGACTGTGTCGCCACGGCACCGTCGCGCCTCTATGAGATATACTCGTACTATGCACCACTTGTGCCTCGACCGTTCTCGTGTTACGTTGCTGAATAAAACTTAATTACATTTACGATAATAACNTACGCCAGTCTCCTTATTACCGACAGTGTGGCTGACTGTGTCGCCACGGCACCGTCGCGCCTCTATGAGATATACTCGTACTATGCACCACTTGTGCCTCGACCGTTCTCGTGTTACGTTGCTGAATAAAACTTAATTACATTTACGATAATAACACTGTGTTTAATCGTTATTTCAATCCTAAATAACCCTTCAGGTTATGGGCCCAGCACGCTTCCACTGCGCGTGATTAAAATTTATCATAAATTAAAGGATTGAAAGCAATAAATCGAAAATTCCAAAAAGGACGCTATCGGGCTATCGTGGATCACACGTGATACAAAGGGATATCCAGAAAGAGGAAAAGTCGTGGCGAGTTGGGTTAGTGACGATTGAGGGGAAAAAAATGAAAAGTACTCAGAGAAAATGTAAGTACTGAAAAATGGTGAGAACGAAAGATGGAAGGGATCAAAATGGCGGCCGGAAATTTATTGTCCACGACGCCGACCTGAAATCGAAATTTTAGATTGAAAAGAATTAATAAAGAAATCCCATTAAATTCACAAAAAAAAAATCACTTAAAAGCAAAAAATATCTTTTGTCATAAATAAAATCATATTGAAAAAAAAACAAATGGAGAAAGCCAAGTGACGCTGTGACAAAAGTTTCTCGGCAGTGAAGGCAAGTACGGGTTTGAACAGGCTTCAACAAGTAGACGCAACGGGTGGGTTACGCGCGCAACCGGGGCGCGTCTGAGAGAGAGGGACGACTGCAGTCCCACACACATTGGTCGAGCAAGGCGAGAACAATAAGAAATAGAAAGTGAAGGGTTATTTAGGATTGAAATAACGATTGAATACAGTTTTATTATCGTAAATGTAATCAAGTTTTATTCAGAAACGTAGGGCGTNAAAGGGGTGTACAATGACCTGCTAACGAATTACAAACGATTCGATAGGGTCATTTGTTTGAAAATAGTTTTTTGTCGGCTAATAGTATACTGCTCGAGTTCGCTATTTCGGTAACTGTTGGGCGTGTTTCGCAATCGACGTAGTAGCAGTAGCAGTACTGCAACCCTATCTAATTTTGCTTTACTGCAGCTACGGTAGTTGATTCCGAAACGCACCCGTAACACGACAACGGTCGAGGCACAAGTGCTGCATAGTACGAATATATGTCATAGAGGCGCAACGGCGCCGTGGTGACACAGTCAGCTACACTGTCGGTAATAAGGAGACTGGCGTAGAGCGCCACATTCAACACTCCCTCCCGCCGTAGACAGTATCCTTGATTCCTCTCCAGTCTTTTTCTCTCCTAATAATCTGTTCTCGTTTATCACAAAGTTTCTTATTTGGTAACTTTATCTCGCCTCAGTATTCTCGCCAGGTAATTTCGTCAGTTTAATCTCATTAGTTTTTCCATCTCGTCAATTTTATCTCTCCAAGAAAGTCTCGACAAATTAGTTATTTCCTAGACAAACAGAAAGAAAATAATTTAAATATTTACTTTCATTATTAGGTCCATCAAACGCTTGTGTGTTTCAAACGTCAATGGTTTGGTGAAAACATCAGCTAGCTGTTCCCTTGAGCCAATCCAAATGATTTTTATATAATTCTTTTTAACACATTCCTTTACATAATGTAATTTGTTCTCTACAATGTGTCTCAATTTCATTCCTCCATTTATTTCTGCACTCACAATAGCAGATTTATTATCACACCTTAAGATCATTGGAACAGGGGGATCAACCAGTATTAGTTTCAAAGAGTTGTGCAACGACATCATTTCTCGACTCGCCTCGCTCATTGCACCATACTCAACTTCACACGTAGAAAGTGCTACTGTAGTTTGTTTGTGAGTTCGCCAAATGATCGAATCACCAAACAGTCTAATCACAAATCCACACGTTGTGATTGAATCTTTACAATCAGAAAAACTCGCATCAGAATAACCCTGAATGTCATTGGTCTTACCTGAATATCTCAGACCCAAACCCGTAGTATCTCTCAGATACCGAAAAATTCTTTTTACCATTTCCCAATCACTTTCTTTAGAATTTACTTGATGTCTGCTTATCACATTGACTGTATATGCAATGTCCGGTCTCGTAGCACCAGCTAAATACAAAAGACTACCTACGGCCTCTCTATAAGGAATGTTTGCCTTTGTGTCTGTCCTTTCCAAAGTCCCATTATCATATTCTGTTTCTCTTAATTTTCTCTCATTATTAGCTACTTGAGAAGTATTCATTGGTGTACGTTGTGGACGTGCTTTATCAAAGCCAAACCTACTTAATATCTTTTGAATATATTTTTCCTGATTTAATTTAATAATCTGATTTTCTCTGTCTCGCCGAATAGTCATGCTCAAATTCCTTGGGTTCTCCCAGGACTGTCATTTCAAATTCGCTACATAAATTACTCTTTACTTCAGCCAATTTACCGTTATCATTACTCGCCAATAACATATCATCTACATAAAGTAGCAGAAGCAAGAACTTGTCTTCATCTCGCCAAGTGAATAGACAAGGTTCTAAATCTGAGTTCTGCAGACCCATACTCAAAGCTACTTCAGTGAATTGTACATTCTACCGTTTGGGACTGATACGAAGACCATAAAGTGCTTTCTCCAATTTGCACACATTTTCTTGCCCATCTTTGTCAGTATGATTAGTCCCTTCTAGAATTTCCATATAAATTTCCTCATCTATTACACCATTGAGGAAAGCAGTTTTAACATGTAGCTGACATACCTCTAGATTATATTTGTTTATAATTGATATAACTATACTCACTAAAGGTAAACGAGCTACTGGAGCATAAGTTTCCCTTAATTCATAAATGTTCTTATCCTTGAAACCTCTGATTACTAGTCACGCTTTGAATATTATTTTTCGATTTGCCTCATTTTTACACTTAAAAACCCATTTTGAATCAATGACATTTAATCTTTTTTCATTCATCATAATTAGAGGTCTTTTGACAATTTTCCATACTTGATTTCTTTCTAACGAGTTTAATTCTTCATCAACCGCATTTAACCAATAATCTTTATTTTTACTATTTATAGCTTCTCGATAATTTGAGGGATCTTCATTTATGCTTGATAAAAGTGCATGATACACTTCATCTTCCTTTTGTGCTAAATCTATCTCGCCTACATTACTGATAACACTAGTGAAAGAAACATTTCCTTTCACGTTCTCATCAATCTCCAACTCTGAAAAGCTATTATCATTTATTGTTTTATCTTTTATATCAACTGTCTTCACTTTCTTGGTAATGTTTTGTTGTGTAACTTCTTTCCTTGGTCTACCTCTTTTGCGTTTTATCTCTCCCTCCGGTTTTGAAGAATCCTCGGCCTCACCTCGATTCTTTTAGAACTCAACAAACCATTCATCTTTATTCTCCATTTCTCCATAGTCTGGGAAATCTTTGATACCGTTTCTCTTGTATTTATCCCCATACACTAATTTTTCATTCAATTTAACATGTCTACTTTCATAATATTTTCCTAGCTCTGGCTTTAAGAGTTGATACCCTGTTGGAGTATATCCAACCAAGACCATACCTACAACTCGAGGTCCAAACTTTGGCCCAGCATTTCTAGCAATTTTTACATAACTTAAACTACCGAATTTTTTGATTTGATTAATATCAAGCTATGATCAGGCGCGAATCTTTCTAAAGGAGTTATCATATTGTTTGATTTATGTGGAGTCCTATTGTAAGCGTAAACTGCAGCAGTTAAGCCCAGATCCCACACGTCCTTTGGCAGTCTCGAGTCAAACATATAACATCTCACCTTTTTCTGGATAGTTTGATTAAATGTCTCAGCGACACCATTGTGTTCAGGTGTATCAGGGGAAGCTAACTGTAATTCCGCCCCTAGATCCTTAAGAACTTCAACTGTATGCCCGCCTGTATACTCTGTTCCCTGATCTGATCTAAGATAACACACTTTCGCGTCATAACCCAGTAAATTACGCGCACTTGTGATGAACATCTCAAGACGTCTTGTTTCACTTTTCGCCTTCATTGGATAAGCCATAGCGAATCTTGAGAAGTCATCGATGAACACAAATAAATCTGTATCCCTTAGGATGAGAAATTGGAGTAATAGGCCCCATCACATCTGAGTGAACTATTTGCAATGGTGCTGTTGCTCGCCTGCGCACCGATGGGAATGATAATTTATTGAATTTAGACGTTAAGCATACTTCACAATCTCTAATGAATTCATCAACTTTTACCGCATTTAATTCTTTATTATCTGGGAATTTCTTTTGTAATGCCTTGAGGTAACTCGTTGAGGCATGTCCAAATCTACAATGCCACAACATGACATTCTGATTCTTCAAATAGCTATCTTTATGAATTGAAAGTTTTGGAAAAACTTCTACCGAATCATCCCATGGTAATTCATCAACATCTTGCAATTTCTTGTCCCAAATGGTGTAATCAAAATTTGATTGTTCATAGGGAATCTTTTCTTCAGTAATTATTTCCTCTTTTATTAAGTTTTCACTCCCTTTTTCATTATGCTTTTCTTCCTTTGCCTTNTGTAATGCCTTGAGGTAACTCGTTGAGGCATGTCCAAATCTACAATGCCACAACATGACATTCTGATTCTTCAAATAGCTATCTTTATGAATTGAAAGTTTTGGAAAAACTTCTACCGAATCATCCCATGGTAATTCATCAACATCTTGCAATTTCTTGTCCCAAATGGTGTAATCAAAATTTGATTGTTCATAGGGAATCTTTTCTTTAGTAATTATTTCCTCTTTTATTAAGTTTTCACTCCCTTTTTCATTATGCTTTTCTTCCTTTGCCTTTTCTTCAATTTTATTTTCTTCCTCATGACTCATCAATTTCGTCTGTCTTCTCACTTGTTTTATTCTGTAAATTTGCTGTGACACTTCTGGTAAGATATCTTTCCACCTCATTCTCACCCCCAGTGACATCAGCAACATTTGCTACTATTCGCCTGTTTATTTGCTTGAAAGAATTCTCACTGATAGAGTTTGACTTTACTATTTCTAAATCGATTATCCAGTAAGATTTTCTATAAATTCCCGAGATGAAAAGTTCATTCGACAATGGATCAAATATATCAATTTTCTTGTCATCTAAGTAGATTGCTAATCCCATTTCGGCAAATTTTCTTAATGATAGTAGATTTGCTTTAAGAGCTCCTGCAAAAATAACTTTGTCAATTTCTAGTAATTTACCACTTGCCAGTTCAATTTCTATTTTTCCTGCCTCCTCCATTTTTAAGTCCGCTGACTCATTTTTATTAGCACACCTAATTTTTAAATGCTCGGTTGCGCCTGAATTTGCCAAAAAGTCTATCAAAAACTTATGTCCATTTGTTTGTTGACTATCTGCATAAAATATTTCAGCACTTGATTGATCATAGTTTTCTTTTTCCTTACCTTGACTGGAGTTATTTTTCTCTGTAGGTTTGTCGGATTTGGATTTCTTGTTTGATTTGTGAGATGACTTAAACCCGTGTTTGTTCTCGCCTCTTTTATAAGAGAACCGACTCTTATTGAATCTTCCTCTTTTACTTGGACTATATGTCTCACCTCTCATTGGTCTTTTCGTTCCTCTACTGTTACTTCTATATTGATCTTGATAATTGTTTCGATAATTAATTTCGGAATTGGAATTGTACCTTGGAGTCTGTTTAGAGTATCCGGAGCCACTTGGTGCATTGTCATTGTGGGGTACGTTTGGGTAATCTCTCGCCTTGTGATTCCCAAACTGGTTGCACCTGTAGCACAAGTATCCTTTCCCTTTATTGGGACAGTCTGGTCCCTTGTGTCCATATGCCTGACAAGCAACACAACTTGGCCCCTTGTGCTGTGCAAGATCAGCAGTTTTAATATCAGAATCTGAGAGCTCACTTTTCATAGTAGCTTCTTCTAATATCGCAATTTTTAACTCGCCAAAAGTCAAGCCCACACCTATAGCCTTCCTTGTTACTTTTTCAATGATTTTAATGTTGGGAAAAGCTTTTATTACTGCATTGTAAAATGCATCTTTCTTTTCGCCTTCACTGAGAGGAATGGTGTCAGGAGCATTTTCATAAGTTGCCATTTTCTCATCAAACATATCGTTAAACTCGCCAGCTGTCATTTTAGCAGGATTGTATCTCATATTATAAAGGTCTTGTCTCACCGAGTGTGAAGTTACATTAAACTCAGCCATTTTCAATTCTTTCAGTTTCTTCAATATTTCTTTTGAATCTTTTAATCTG